TGGTAGAGACAAGGTCTTGCTATGTTGCCCAGACTGATCTTGAACTCTTGGCCTTAAGTGATCCTCCCGCCTGGGCCTCCCAAAGTGCTGGGATTACAGGTGTGAGCCACCCTGCCTAGCCACTTTATTTCATAAAACTTAATTTATTCATTACCTTAGTTACAGTTAATTCTCTATGACTTTACCAATTTTGTTATAACTAATCTATCTCTATTTTTAAAAACTTAAAAATTTTCTTAAGTTAGGAAAAAAATCATCTCCATCTTGTATAGGTTGTACCTACAATAGATATTATAGCAGAATCATTATTAAAACACATCACAGAAAATCAGCCTTCTCTTCTGTATAATGTGCATGCAAAGCTTCTCACCCAGGTTTGCCTTAAGCAAGAGGGCCCAGCGTTTCAGAACAGTAAGTGTAATGTCGGAGTTCTGTGGTACTTACAGATGGAAGCAGAAGTCCCAGTCGATGTCATTGCTAACAGCTGGGATACAAATGGGGCTGGTTTGCATCTTCTTCCTACCAAGAATCACATGTGAGGTCAGCTTTGGGAGAAAAGGCTTAGTTTATTCTGTTTACCCTGTCTTGGATGCTATTAACATTAAACTGAAACTACTCAAATATATAACCCATCCTAAATCCACAAATGGACTATGCACACTCATGTGTGGAGATCCCTGGAAAGCAGAAATTAAAGACATTTGCCAAATTAAATGTCTAAGTTAAATTTCTTTCCCCTAATTTCTATTCCATGTTACTTCTCCCTGGACTTATTTACCTCTCAAAACCAGCACATTTGCATATCCTGGATCATCAAAACTATGGTCACCTACTCAACTCAGATATTGTTTTTGCAGTTCTGAGGGAAAGATGGATCCAAACACAGCAACCAGCTCTCAGTAATAAATGAAGTACAGCCAGTGCATTGGTTTATTTTCCTCCTTATCCCTGGGGCCATTTCACTATTTAGTAGGTGGTTCTAGTAAAGGAGCTAAAATTCATGTCTATTTTGGTTGCTACTATCAGCTGATGGGGGAAATGGTTTGGGACTCATAGCGAAAAATGTGATTTATAATTACAGTATTTGTGAAATTCAACTCTCAAGGCTATTGCCTGTCGCTTAAATCAAATCCAAATCGAATGCAGTTATTTACTCAACATCAACACCCACCTGCAGAATGTCACTCATTCCCACCGAGCCCTGAGTACCCTTCTCTGACCCAGGATCCAGAACATCTACTATCCAAAAATCAGAAGGGAAGATTCACTGATTTCTCTTTCTAATCTCTACTTTCAAAACTATGGCCAGAGTAAGGGGTTCTGATGTCTCAACCCCTGAACCCTGTTCCTATCAGATTCCATGGAGCCCTGAAGACCACATTTTGGCCCCTCTCTCAAGTACAAAGCGCTTCCTCCTTTTCTGCTCTTGTTGCGTGGTAACTTGGTAAACCCTGAGGCTACATGCCTAGCTCCGTGCAGAGCTTCCCGTGGCTACCTCCGTGCGGCTGTACGCCCGCCGCCGAAGTTCTGGCCGGCTCGGCCAGCAAGGGCTGCTGGCTGCAGGGCCCGCCCGGGCGGCCCACCTGGCGAGGGCTGAGAAGCCACGCCCCGGAACTAGCCTTCCCGGCTCCCTCAGCCAGGCAGCGCGGCTTCCTCGCGCGGCGTCAGCGGCCTGGCCCCAGCCGACCTCGGTCCCGGCACCACAGCGGTGCCTGTCTGAAGCTAGAGGGCCTGCGAGGTCAGCCTTTAGCGTCCGGGGCCCAGGTTCCGGCCCGAGAGACAATACGGTTGCCATGGGAACGGAACGCCGCGGGCTCGCTGGGAGCGCCTGTAGCCACGGGGACGCGGGCACTTCCGGCCCGGGGAATCCCGGCCCGAGGGCCGGCGGTGGTTCCCACCTCACCCTCCGCTTTCTGGTCCCCGCGGGCCTGACGCACGCGACCTAGGGCTAGTGCCACACTTCGCTCTGCTGCGCTGAGTCGTCCACTAATGTCATATCTCAGAGGACCTTCCTTGTCGGAGATGAAGACACAGGAAAAGAAGATAAATCCCCTGGAAGGAAGAAAGAGTGCCCGGCTCCACGACCCTACCTGTTCAAAACTGCCACGTATGCGGGTCGTATGCAGCGGCAGCCCAGGCCGCCGATTCCCCCACCCCTGCACCCACGCTTTCCGGCTGGGACCCAACCCCGCCCCCAGCGCAGGTCCTCGCGAGTTTGGTTCTCTGGACCCCAGAGGAAAGGCGCAGATACAGTTGATAGTGCTCGCACCGTCTGTGTTTCCGCTCCCAGTAAGATTGAAGCTAGGCATGGTTAGGAAAGTGGATTGCGGGAAGTGGGTAGGGTAAGAAATGGAACACTAGATCTGCTAATGGTTAGCAGTTCAGAGAATATTTGCGAGGGAGGAGGGTACATTTGGCACATAGCCCTAAATTAGACACCCATACGTTCTTATACCCCTTCATTGGCTGGAAATACTGTGGTTAGAACTAAAAACAAAATCCTAGATCCTCCAACTCCTGAGCAGACCCCCATCTTAAACCAAGGGGACACCAGAGAAACCTTAAAAACCGAGTTCCTGATCTTACAGGAGGTCGGACACACCCCTGCCCTCTTCCTTTTGTGATTTAGACACAACTGACCAGCATTAAATAATGTTGAAATAGATCTCATAGTACTGACGAAACGGACTCTGTGGCGAGATTCCAAATTAAAAACAAGACCTAAGGCCATGCCAAGCAAGAGTTAAGTCATCACCCTATGCTTAAAGAATAAATTATGTTCGTCTGGGTGAACTAAAACACCTTTGAAGACTTAAATTTCCAAACCTCTGTGATACTTTTCCTTCCATTGCCATCTTAACCCTTTCCCCCAAATGCAAACTTTGGTTGTAATATATGTGTTTTTAGGTGTGTTCATTAACACCAGAATGGAATGCCACTAATCCGGGTGGATATGCTTTTACAACATTCATCCACATTCCCTCCCTTGATTTTGACGTAGAAGAGGCAAGTATCGCTATTGCAGAAATTGCATAGAGGAAGCATGTGTAGAGGGTACTCCCAGACTCTTACAACCCCAAATCAAATATGATTATCTCCAAACTATTCCAACCCCAGGAACTGTGAAATGTAAGAAAAAGGAAATGCAAATAAACTTTTTCTTGGAACACATTGTATGGCCTCTCAAGACAGCGTTAGATGCCTTATTTCTGAAATCCAATAGTATCCTGTCCACAATCTCATCTTGACTCTCACCATGCTGTATTGGCAAGTTGCTGTTTATTTGCAAGTTTCTCACACTCTCCATACATCTATCCATCCACACAGACAAAAATATCTATTGAATACCTACTATGTGCCAGATAATATTCTAAGCATTAGGGAAGCAAAGGTGAACAAATAGACAAAGATTTTGCTCTACTGGAATTTATATTCTACTAGGTGAAGAAAAACACAGAACTTCTAGCAAACAATATGGTGTCTCTGCAAATTAGAAAAAGGTACATAGCTTAGGGAATAGGCAGCAATGCTTTGTCAATTCAGAAAAAGCCTCTTCCTCCAGCCAGACTCAGGTCCCTGAAGAGTACAGCTTTGGGAACAGAGGGCGGGCTGGATTTCAGGACTCACTCACTCCAGGTGAGCCACCTCACAATGAAGCGATAAATGATATGTGGAAAAATAAAGCCAGGTAAGGGATCTAGAAAATGATGTAGTCACGTGGGGAGGGGTGTGCTATCTTACATAGCATAGTTAAGGAGGGCCTCTCTGACAAGATGGCATTGAGCAGAGACCTCAAGGAAATGAGGGAGCAAATCATGCAAATATCTAGGAGAACATCCTAAGATGTTAACAGCAAATGCAAAGGCACTGGGTCAAGGAATAGCAAAAGGGCAATAAGAATGAGGAGGAGAGGAGACTGGGTCAGTTAAAGTAGCAGGGCATGAGGTCATAGAGGGCCTTATAGGCAATCCATCCATCTAATACTGACTACCCGCTAGGTGACAGGCCCTGTTTGATAGCTATGGGCTCCTTGTGAGCACAAGCTGTTATAGCCATTGAGCCTTCGGCATGAATGCCTGGTCCATCATCAATGTTCACTAACATTTAATAAATGGTGAATCATCTTTGGGAACTTAGTGAGAATCTTAGTGAGAGATTCTAGCCTCCCTGTATCAGTTTCCTATTGCTGTAACAAGTCACCACAAATTTATTCTTATATAATTCTGGAGGTCAGAAGTCTGAAATGGGTATCACTGGCTTAAAAAGACAGTATGTCTGCAAGGGTGGTTCCTTCTGAGAACTCTAAGGAAAAATCTGTTTTCTTACCTTTTCTGGCTTCTAGAGCTGGCCTGCATTCCTTGATTTGTGACCTCTTTTTCCATCTTCAAGGGCCCCCTCTTGTTACATTGGGCCCACCTAGATAATCCAGAATAATCTTATCTTGAGGTCAGCTGATTAGCAACCTTAATTTTATCTGCAATCCTAATTCCTCAATTCTCTTGTCATGTAATTATCCACAGGTTAGATTCACATCTACCATATTCACAAGGTCTGGGGATTAGGACATAGATGCCTTTGGGAGGACTTATTCTGCCCATCAGTGTGTTTAACATGACTTAAATGCGTGGTTTTAAACACACCCAGAGGTGACACATAAGGAGCCCTTACTACCCATCTCTTCTCCTGGCTGTTAGATGCTTATATCATTTGACTGTGTCCATCATTTCTCTCCCCTACACACCCTCATTTTATAATCTGGTACATCTGGTTGTGGTTCTTGAATATGCTGGTTCTTCCCATTTTAAGGCCTGGTTTGCAATAAATGTGCAGGAATATCTCATTTCTTCCCTCCTACTCAACTCCACCTTTTGAGGCTTTACTCTCAAGGGAAGCCTTTCCATCTGCTGGAACTCACACATTGTTCCCTCAGCCGGTTCCTATGGCCCACTTATGGTGACCATCAGAGTTGAGCTCTTGTTTTGTTTCTCAAATGTGCCACGCACTGCTCCATAAGGCCTAACAAGTCTCTGCCCTGAGCTGGTGAACAGAAATTGCTACTCTTGTGAATGCCCTTGTTCCTTGGTATGTTGCCTTTTCCAGTTGACTCTTTGTCTTGCAGTCTGTCTTTTAACTTTGCTCAAAAAACGTCAGCCACCCCCCCTCACTCCACCCCCATCTTTGCTGGATAGTGTTTCTGCTGCTGTCAACACCCTACATTCCAGTTATACCACGTTGCAAAAGGTTGTGCTTCAACATGTGCTGGGAACATTTTCCCCACACAGTATAGCATGTGTTTATCTTAAGATGGGTGGGTTTAATTATTGAAGGCTTTGGAGTGTCTTAACAAAGTCTATGTAAGGAAAACAAATTGATGACTCTTAGTCAACATAATAGTCCATTCTTTCTCACTCAATGCGATGATGATACGTACAATATTCTACTTTTTTTCTCTGACCGTCTCATATCATGATGAAAGCTAATGTGAAAACGGGCAATTTGAAAATTATCCAAA